TTGAGTCACTTTAGATATGCCCACTATACATCACTATAACCAGCATCAAGATACATGTTTCCTTGGTATATTTGTAAGAATTAGTATGTTGAATTTTGAGTCACTTTAGATATGCCCACTATACATCACTATAACCAGCATCAAGAACCATATTTCATTGGTATATTTGTAAGAATTAGTATGTTGAATTTTAAGTCACTTTAGATATGCCCACTATACATCACTATAACCAGCATCAAGAAACATGTTTCTTTGGTATATTTGTAAGAATTAGCATGTTGAATTTGTGAGTCACTTTAGATATGCCCACTATACATCACTATAACCATCATCAAGAAACATGTTTCCTTGGTATATTTGTAAGAATTGGTATGTTGAATTTTGAGTCACTTTAGATATGCCCACTATACATCACTATAACCAGCATCAAGAAACATGTTTCTTTGGTATATTTGTAAGAATTGGTATGTTGAATTTTAAGTCACTTTAGATATGCTCACTATACATCACTATAACCAGCATCAAGAAACATGTTTCCTTGGTATATTTGTAAGAATTAGTATGTTGAATTTTGAGTCACTTTAGATATGCCCACTATACATCACTATAACCAGCATCAAGAACCATGTATCTTTGGTATATTTGTAAAAATTAGTATGTTGAATTTTAAGTCACTTTAGATATGCCCACTATACATCACTATAACCATCGTCAAGAAAGATGTTTCCTTGGTATATTTGTAAGAATTAGCATGTTGAATTTTGAGTCACTTTAGATATGCCCACCATACATCACTATAACCAGCATCAAGAAACATGTATCTTTGGTATATTTGTAAAAATTAGTATGTTGAATTTTGAGTCACTTTAGATATGCCCACTATACATCACTATAACCAGCATCAAGAAACATGTTTCTTTGGTATATTTGTAAAAATTAGTATGTTCAGTTTTAAGTCACTTTAGATACGCCCACCATATATCACTATAACCAGCATCAAGAAACATGTTTCTTTGGTATATTTGTAAGAATTAGCATGTTTAATTTTGAGTCACTTTAGATTTGCCCACCATACATCACTATAACCAGCATCAAGAAACATGTTTCTTTGGTATATTCGTAAGAAT